CAAAGATCTGAGGAGTGGCTGTCAAGAGGAAGATGCCAGTCTCTTTTCAGTCGTGCCCAGTAGCAGGGCAAGGAATAACGAATATGAGCTAGACCATAGGAAGTTCCACCTCGACATGAAGAGAAACTTCTTCACTGTGAGGGTGACAGAGCACTGGCACAGGCTGCCCAGAGAGGTTGTGGAGTCCCCTCTGGAGACTTTCAAAACCTGCCTGGACGTGTTCCTGTGTGACTGCTGTAAAGAAGGAGGTCAGTAGCGTGCCCATATCAAAAAAATAAATTCATGCGCGTAGGTAAATTTATTTACAGGATATAAGCTCCTCCAAATTTAAAGGTTCGGTATCGGTTGAGGAGAAGATCAAGCTCAAACACTAGCCCTTGACAAAGAGAATGATAATCCAGATTATCATACACTCACCTCAGTTAAGACGTGGGTTTCCATTCTCGTCAGATTGTCCTTGCCAGGGGTACCTTAACCAAGCAGGGATTCCTGTTCTTGCCTGTTCGACCTTGCTAGGGGTCCTGTAGACCAAGGGGGAGACTTTACAACCTCGGAACTGCCACGAGATAACTCCAAAATGGCCACGGCAAGAACCCTGTTTTAAAGACTAGTCAATGGTGACTGTGGTCTGTCATAGCCATCTTGGCTTTTGCTGCTGGCCAACTTCCTGGGTGTAACCAAGAAGTCCAGACCAGCTCAGGTCACAGATTCCCTGAATCTGCCTAGCAACAGCTCAGCTTGGGGAGGAAACACCTGCCACAGCTGCCCTAGGGGATCCTGCTCTGGCAGCGGGGTTGGACTAGATGATCTTTTGACGTCCCTTCCAACTCCTAACATTCTATGATTCTGTGATGATCAGTGGGGATTGCTGTCAATGGTGGGGGGAAGTTAGGTTTGATATTGGGCTTATATGTAGTTGTATAGAGTTCTTAATTTTTATCATTTCATCATTATTTCCATTATTGTTTCATTAAAGGTGTTCTAGTTTTTCTAACCTGTAAGTCTCGCTTCTTCATTCCCTTTTCCTTCCTGGTTGGGGGGGAGAGGGGGTTAGAGAATGTTTGTCCATGTTTAGTGGCTGGGCCAGCCCTAACCCCTGGCACTACTGCACTCTGATTAAGAGCTTTGTTTTGCAGCCTCCTCCTACCCAGAGAAGGTTCTACTACACCACTGCCCCAGCAGCATTAGGCCACTGGCAGTTCTTTGAGGGAGATGTTTTGCTTAAATGCAGCACAATGGTACAGACAATCTCACATGCACCACCCTGTGTGCTGCCTCGGAGAATGCTTTCAAAAAACCTGACCTTGAAGGGTTTATGTCAAGTGCTGTTTTGATAAAACCAGGAGCTGGCTCATTTATGAGGACTAAGGTCACATGGGTTTCTGTAGCATTCTGAGGCACCGAAATGACTATTCAAGACTTCACAACTAAACTTACTACTCTGTACTTACCCAGCTTGCACAAACATTAAAAGTTCTTCTATATTTTAAGCTGACCACTTCTTAAAAAATAACAACAAAAAAACCCCAGACGTACCTAGGAGACTGAAAATAGGAGGTTCTGGACAGGCAGAATAACATGCAAGAAGTGGAGGTGCTGTCAGCAAAAACATGTGACCTATTTTACTATTTTAAAACATGTGACCTATTTTACTGCAAAGGAATGTTGCTTTTGACTAAGGGGAGACCTCATCACTCCCTACAACTTCCTGAAAGGACACTGTAAATGGGTCGGTGCTGGTCTCTTCTCACAGGTAATTAGCGATAGAACAAGACGGAATGACTTCAAACTGCAAGAGAGGATGTTTACACGTTAGGGAAAAACGTTTTCACAGAAAGAGTAGTCAGACATTCAAACAGGCTGCCCAGGGAGGCGGTTCAGTCACCATCCCCAGATATGCTTAAAGGTCGTTTAGATGTGGTGTTGGGGAATATGGTTCAGAGCTGAGCTTTGTAGAGTAGGGTAAGCAGTTGGACTCTAGGATCCCAGGGGTCTTTTCCTACCTGAATGATTCTATAATACAGGTCAAAAGTAAATTTAAACATACCTGGCATAATGACCTTTATGAACTTGCAGAGCCATTCAGAATAACCAAAGTGATGCAATGGTGGTAATGCTGGAGTTGTAGTATTAGTAACAGTGAAAGAATACAGCTTGCTGCTTAATCTGTGTTTTCAGGTAGACCTGTTCAAGAGGAGCTTTAAATCCTTTCCCTTCTTTCTCTCAAGAAGTGTCAGATTTCTCCTCTGGAAGCCCACTGTTACTTGTTAAAAATACTCAAGCTGCCAACAGTTCAAAACCATTCCTAGAGCTGTCACCTCAAAAGGGACCAATCTGGATAAAACATACAGAATCTAAACCAAACAGCTGTGGAGGTACAGCCAATTGAGTATGCTATAAACTCAGCATCTGAAAATTTATACTATTAATTTCTGAAAATTTATCACACAGAGGAAGAGACAGCAATCCAGAGGCTACAGAGATTGACAAAATTCATTTATTCTCCCCCTTTTCTTGACTTTTCAAAGAAGCCCACCACAAATACCATTTAAGACAGAATATATTAGTGCACTACTGCTGTTAAAAACAAGCATGAAAAAACATACAGTTGAAGACAATATTCTGATACATCACTCATATTTGGCAAGAGTCCTTGTTACGATGGGACAGTGGAAGTAGAGCATACATTCAGTGATAGTTCCTTTGCCAGCTAATGAAGACATTAACTGAAATACTAAAACCAAAAACTGATCAGTGCATATGCCCTCTCTTTAAAAGGCAATCCAGCAATAACTAGGTAGTGTTTCTCACTGTCATGCAGGAATGATTGTGCTCTCTCTAGTCACTTGGTATTCTGTGTTTCCATGTTATTAAGGTGCTGGATGATGGCTGAGAGGTTTTGGGAAAATGAGACTGTTAAAGGTGAAAGCTCGGTTTATAAACATATTAATTTAGAGCATGCTATTTTAAATGTTATGCTTTTCCAGAAGGTTACCACCCTGGTTCTATGCCTTCATGTCTAACAGCTACAACATTCTTTTTCCCCCATAAAAAGAACTATTGTCAATGCACTATAATCAAAAATCAAGTTTTTACACCACCTATGTTAAATTCACCTGGTCTGGGTTAAGTGCGTAACACCATGTTAGAATATACCTAAAATAGGAGGTTTTAATTGACTATGCTGTAGCTTAAACAGCACTTTTCAGACACAACTGCATTATTTTTGAAATTTTAATATATCTCAATATCTTAAAAATATACAAATTAAAATAAATTATTCTTATATATTTCTTTATATCAAACAATCTTCAAAGTTAGAAAAAAACAGTCCAGAGGTAAATGTGTCATAGCCCACTACTCAAGAGTTTAAAGTGACTGACAATATTTGCAAAGAGTTAGCTTCTTTCAACATACGGTTTATTGCCACCTCTTCATTTATTACTTAGCTCACAGAAAGCAGAAGCGTCGACCGTTTTACTTCAGAAAAAGGTCTCTCGACAGAGTGGACAGGTGGATTTGTTGCTGGATGTGAACCACTTGTACTGAAAGAAAAATACAGCTGTTTAATACACAACTGCAAGATGAGTATCAGGCATGCTGACAATCAGGATTATTCGCCAATGAATGGAACTATCAAAACATGAACTATACTTAAAAAAACCAAGAAACAGTAAAAAAAACCCTTTCCACTTGTGTGCGTATGGGTGTGTATATATACATATTGGTATACGCATGCATACATGTTATAGATACACAATACTAAAATTTTATTCTAAATAATCTGACAGAAAGGAATCCTCATCCAGTCTCTTTTTAGAACTAAAAGCTAGCATTTGTAAAGCACCACCAGTTCCTTTATTGGATGGACACACAGATGCCAACCCACTACTCTGTAACCGTACAACCAATGCCTACGATGACTTCGATAAAGTTAAATGCAAATTTCCTGGATCAGCATGCTTTACTAAAAGGAGCATGATGCAAAAATGATTTTTAACCTTTTCTACTCCCGTATCTGAGCTGATAACAATAAGACACTGTTGCTACACCCTACATAGATGTAACGGCTTATGTCCTGGTGAACACAAAACCGACAGTGATTACACTGTGATTACCTCTTTCCTCACATGTTACACTTCAGCACAAAACCCAAACTAATAACTTACGAGTTCAGTTAATCCCCAACACCACAGCAACATAATGAAGAACTGATGGTATTACAGTGGAAGCTCCTGTTTCAAACTATAAATGGTATTTTGCCTATTCCAAAAGATTTAGTCTAGGTACTTACCAGGCAAGCCGAGTGAAACTTTTTCTTGCATGTTCTGCAAGCTTTTTTGGGAAGAGAATAGTTGGATCCATGAATGACTGAAAAGCAGATCATGCAATCTTCAACGCCCTCAAAACGTTTATCCACGTTATTTTTCCACAGAGATAAGCCTTCCATAATACTCCCATTCTAACAGAGGGAAAAGACCTGTTAACACTGTAGAATTCCTTCAGGATATCCTTACTGTTATGGATAAGCACATGAAGGAAACAAAGCCTGAAGACTTCATAATCGGAAATTATTATACACAGTATAGGCAGTGAAGAATTTATAAATCCAACACATGAAATACAGATGAGAGTCTCATCTACAGAAATGCAAGCATTCATCACAACAAAAGGAGTGCACTTGGGAGCACTTAAAAGGGGATTTGAAATTTTCAGTCACTGTTTTGTTTTGTTCTAACCACAGGTGATGCAGCTTCAGCAATCACCAATCTTCTAGAGAATTTCACATCCTGCGTTTTTGGTTTGGGTTTTTGTTTGTTGGGAATTTTTTGCAAATTATAGTTCAGATGGCATTGCCACATGGGGCAAACACTGGCCCATGTCTTAAGATATCTAAATTTCCAACTGTGGCTATGGATTTAGCAGGACTTATTACGCCAGTAATTTTACGTCTCCCTTTTGGCATATGGAGAAAACCAGATGGTAGAGAGGGACCAGTTCTATGAAGTCCTTTGAGATCTCCTGATGAGATCCATTATTCAGATCTAAATAATATTGCATTACTAAGAATATTTTCCTGTTGTCGGGACTCTCTAAGTTTTCCAAACTAGGGGCGTTCTCTACACTCACCTGATGTGTAAGATACGTGCTTAATTGTAGCATCCAGTTGCGCCACTGCTGTCCCGCCACACCAACCCTCTTTCCACTCTCAACTGTTATGGATCCCAGGGGGTAGTTTGATGGAAGCTGTATGATTAGTTCAATAAAGATATCATCAACTGAATAGGTGGCAATGACTTCCCGTGCTGCAGACCGAGCTTTTACCTGTGCAGAAGAGGCACCCATTAAAAAACTCCACAGAGAAATGCACACCATATATACATA